CCCCCAGGGGAGATGGCCAGGCCACAATCCCTTATCCTCCATTCTCCTCTCAGGATCTTGGGCACACACGCGCACGTGCCTGGTGTGAGTTTAAGCCACCAGGTCTGGGACTCAAACCACAGTTGACTACATGGGAGTCCAGTGATGTAGCCATTATGCCATCTGCTGGTCACAGATAAGTTTTTTCTTTACTGAGAGATATGGTTATATAGTCCCATCGTTACCAGTTAAACAGTCTTCTACCAATGTGATCAGCTGACTTAATACTTCAACTACCACTACCAGTTGCCCTCCAAATCCTTCTCTTCCTCTCCCTCCTCCACTCAGAGTTGAGCACTACCTGTACTATTTTGACCTGAAGACACAGCATATTTGGTCAAATCCCCATCATTTGTAGGCAATAAATAGCAAGCGTGTTAACTAAAATCATATTGCACCATGGTTCAGTGGAATTAATTTTCAGACGAGATTCTGCGAAGCACAACACTAGGGTACATCCATTATGAAAGAAATTGTTTGTTCTTGTTATTTAGTCAAACAAGGATATGTGAACTCAGCAGAGAGAAATGAGAACATTGGCTTTAAATAAGTAATATTTGGGGTGTCTATGTCACAATGGACATTACCAGAATGTTGGGGAGATAGATAGGGACAGAAACTTGATGCTTTTGCCTAAGTGGAATTTGAAATTTTGTTTTCATGATGAATTAAGATAGTAAGGATAACTACAAACAGCATAAATAAGATGCAAGTATTTTATATCATGAGTTATCCAGGGCAATGTGTGGAAAGGAAAACAGTGAAATTCTTCTCTAGAGATCAAGAAACATAGATTTCTGACTATCTTCTCCAATTCCTGTTTTAATTTCTTTTTAAAAATCACGTAATTGGGCAACTCTATAGCCTAGTTAAGAGAGCCAGATCCCATGTGACTGACTATGCTATTTGAGTCCTGGACCTGGTAGCTTGAAAAACACGCCAAGTGTGTATTTCTGCATGCCCAAAATTCCAAGAGCAGAATGGAGGAGAAGAATTTATGGTGTGGTCATACCCGCAGGGGTGTTTTCTCACTTTTTTTCCTCTCTGTCTCTCTTTCTTTCTCCAACAAACACACATGCCTTATAGCATTTCTCACTTTTTTTCAAAGAAGGAAAGAAGAAAGAGGAAGGAAGGAAAGAAGGAAGGAAGGAAGGAAGGAGAAAAAAAAGAATCCAAGTTTAGGGTCCAGCCTAGTGTCATAGTCAATAGCAAAATAAATGGCAGCTCTGGAAGCCACTTAGCCTACCTCAGGTTCTGAGCCCTGCGTTAACTTGAAAACATGCCCAGTGTTGGGAACCAGCAGTTAGCGTAATGGCTATGTCGCTGGACTCCCACGTAGTCGACCGCGGTTCGCGTCCCGGACCCGGTGGCTTAAAACTCACGCCGGGCGCGTGTGCGTGCGTGCCCGCGTGCCCAAGATCCCGAGAGGAGAATGGAGGAGAAGGGATTGTGGCGTGACCATCCCCTCTGGGGGCCGATTTCTCGCTTTCTGTCTCTATGTCTCTCTCTCTCTGTCTGGCGAGCGCACGCGCCCTATAGCAAAAACCTCTCAAAAAAAAAAAAAAACATGCCCAGTGTGCACAAACATGTTCAAGATCCTTATGAGCTGGAGGGCTGTGGAAGGGGAATCATGGCATGATAAGACCCTGTCAAGGGTGCTGCTCTCTCTTTTGCATGCACACTTGCTTACTATCATGGATAAAATAAATAAACTTGAAAACAACAGAATTTGGGTTCAAGCAACAGGCAGATCTGAGTTCAAGTCTCAACTCTATCTCTTGCTAGCTGGCTGATCTTTGCTATGCTACTTCACAACTTGGAACTTCACTTTCCTCCTTTATAAGATGAGCATAATAACATCTTCCTCATAGGATTGTTGTGAAGGTTACATGAAATTTATACTTTTAAGGTGTTTAGCTCAGTTGCCTAGCATAGTAAGTACACAATAAATGTTGGCTGAAAATAAAGGAAATGCAAACATTCCTCCCTTGAACACACAGATCACGGTCTACTCAATGGTGGAAACCTTTTCTGTCTCATCTACTATTCCCCCCAATGCCTACAGAGTAGGAACTTGATAAGTCTTTGTAGAATGAATGACTGTTTATTACATATCACCTTTGCTGTTCACCTCTTTTGTTCCTCTAACAGATTCATTCAGCTAGTACCTACAAAGCATCTATTATGAATGAGTTCAGTAACCATCAGTGATAGATGATAGACATGCCATGACAGACATGCCCCTAAAACAGTATCTTATCCTTGAACTCTGGTTTCACTAGCTGAGTGCTGCTGTACAGTTTGAGAGGTCTCTGCCTAAT